AGTAGGCGATTAATGTCGCTTAATAAATTTAATTACGATTTTAGAAGTAAAATAAAACAGAGCAGCGGAACATTTTTTCGGCGAAAAAGGTTAAATTAATAAAATCCTTAATTTAATTGTTTGGTGAAATTATACCTAATAATTTAAAAAAATCGATCATAATTTCCAAACTCTATATTATACAAATAAGCTGTAAAATTTAATTTTTATGCAATTTTTAGATGCGGTGCTTCATGTACTAGTTGCTACTTCAGGGACTAGTTGTTAGGAAAAAGAAATGTGTTGTAGGAAAATACCACCCAGATTTTATGTGTGTGTGTATATGTCTTGAGAGAAGTGGAGAGTAGAAAAGTAAAAAATATATTCCATACTAGCAGAATCCACGGCTTCGCTCGCGCTAAAACTCATCCCTCATTTTATCCCGTTATGGGATGTTTTCGAAAAATACTGAAACACGTATTTATTTAATTGTATTGAAGAGCGTTAATACCAACTTTCAATTAATTATGATCATAAATATTTTTGGAGTTATAACGCGTTTTTTCGTAGGAATGAGATAATCTGCCTCGATAAAAAAAATCATGTCAATCCGTCGCGTCGCTCCGTTTCGACGTGAACGAAAGACAAACGAACAAACAAACACTTTCACATTTATAATATTAGTATGAATTCATTTTGTTCTCTATTGAAGAACGGTGCGAACTGTATACAGATGAATATAAAAATATTATATGACATTTTAATTAAAATTGATCATTATTAAATTTGGTTTGCATGATTTTGTATTGAAATGAATAATTTTCACCACACATATCGATTTCCAGTAATGAGAGTCGGATACATAGTCAAATGTGTTTGGAATTAATTAGTGAAATAGCGTGAGTAATTCGAATGCAATCTGTGCAAATCGCAAAATGGCGGGGAGTTGTGGCGCCAAAGATACTAATCTAACATGGCGGGTCGACTGACCGCTGACCTCTGGAACATTCTGTGATTACGTCACTTTTGTAATAGTGTGCTAAATCGATTAAACGAAGTAATTGAATCTTCTTCTACTAGTTTTAATTGATAAGCAAAAAATACACACGAAAAATTCACAAAATTAAAAAAAAAAACGTTTTTACTCTCTTACTTTTCTAATGAAATTAAAATATGTTAACATAGTTTAATTATTCATTATGATTATAATAAATGCATAATATAATAAATATACATACTGCTTTTGGTCTAGTTAAATTGAAATGCGGTTTTGGGGACCGCCGCCCATCACGCGCCCTTCAGATCTAGTCGAAAGTTTATATTAGATTCATAAGTCGCTATGACAATGATCTAAAAAGTATCGAACATCTCATTAGGTCTATGTATAACGTCAAAATAATTTTTATTAAGCTGCTTTTTTGTGTCTCACAATATCATTTTTATTATACATATTTCAAAATTATGTAAGCAATTAATAGGTATACCTATTACCTACTAGTACTTACATACGATGTGAACCACAATCTCAATGATATCACATAAAATAATTCTCATAATCTAATCTTATCTTATAAAATATCATAGTAGGTATGGATATGTATTAGTAGATGCATAAAATGCTAACACAGGTTACTTGGTGTCGGCCGTACAACGTCCTATGTTCGCTCTAAAACATTCCCTAGCCCTGTCTAAGCAATAAACCTCGGTAATTACGGAATAGCTTCGTACCTGAACTGTGTGCGAGACTATTTATTTAACCACTTTGACGGGAAAATAATGGAGAAGCCTCACTGCTTTACTCTCAAAATTATTTGAGTGGAATCTATCGAATGTCGTCCCTACAACGATGAAATAGCTTCAATGTGCTCGATTCAATATTTGATCCTTGAAATTATTATATCTAGTACAGAGTTCAGTGTTAGTACAGTATGAGTAAAGTTTGTCTAGTGTTTGAACTAATCAGACTATATCGTAGGTCAAGAAGGGTTAGTTTATGATTAAGACTTCCACTGCAAAGATTTTACAAGAAAACACTCTTCGGTGGCCGCTGTTATATTAAAAATATTATAATTTTACTTGGATATTTAAGTAAAATTCTGAAAAACGACGCTTTTTATTGTATAAAACTATAAGTTTTCTGAAAAATAAAAATAATGTAATATATTTTTGAGATCTACATTAAGTATTAAAATTAGATGGACTATAATAAATATCCATGTGATTTAAGTGAATTAACACATTAAATAAAAAAAATATATTTAATTACTATTACTTAAAATTGTTTTGTAAATTAGTGGTCTATATTTTTATATACATTTAAAATACTGGTTTTGTCGTCTAGAAAGTTTTTTCTCTAAAGTATACAAAATCCTGAAGGAAAGTTGTTTGCAAAAGCTTCTAATGCTTCTAAAGGTTACAGAAAGTATTTTGAAACTTTGAGTTGTATGTGAATCGTTTTACATATATTCAGTTCATTCTAAAGTGAAATTGGGCATTTAACATGTAGTACGAATAACGTTATGTTAGCATTTTTGTATCAATACTTTAATATTGTAAATGCTTGTTACTCAATCACACCAGAATGGCTGAACGGATCTGGATGAAATTTGGCACAGAGATAGATTATGGTCTGGAATAGCACATAGGCGACTTTTATCCCGGAAAAATGTACGGTTTCGGTGGAATAGATTTTTTTTTGTTTTTCTAGAGGCGAACCCGAGCAAAACGAGGGTGAGCCGGTAGTATAATATACTTACACATAGATTTTTCAAATGTTTATTTTTAATCTAGTGATCTAGCCTAACTGGTAGTGGTTTATATTAACATTATTTTCTATTAAATCATTACATTCTATGTTCGTAAGCTTATTAAAATAGTTTTTACCTATACGGGAATGTGGAATTGCTTACTTTTCATACATATTATAATGAAACTTTTCATTTCCACACTTTAGGGATATATTTTTTTAAAAGTATTTATGATTTTTCACGCGGTTGATCCTCATATTAAATTTCATCAAAATTAGTTTAACATTGTCGTTGTGATAATCTAATAAACAAACAGAGTTACTTTTGCATTTTTGACGGTTCAAAATTGTTTTTTTTAACATATTTGTACCACATAATTTATACAAAAAAAATTAATTGGTCCTATTTTATGTATAAAAGTGTAAATAATTACTTTTAAAGTGATTTATTTTTTGTGGTATAGCTTAAAAGAAATTATTATCAGTTTTGATAAGAACTCTTATAAAATAAAATAAAATAAAAAAAAACACAAAATATTTTTGACTTTAGGTTGGTCTAAAAGATAAATTAGACAAACTATACCTACACAAGAAAAATGTACTACACATACCTACATAGGATGTCAATGAAACTGCAACATTTATCCAATCTAAGTATATATTGATTTACGTAACAAATGCCACTGAGAGGTTACGTACGAAATAATAAATTCTTAAAACCATTAAGGTTCAATATATTCAGCACACCTTTTAAATATTTATATCTACTTCGTTAATAGTCGCGTTGCTCGTCCTTACAAGGATAACGACGCCGTGTACCGAGATTGCGGCCATGTTCTTTTTGATTTCTTGGAGATAATGCATTTCTATTACGAAGATGTTAGTTGATTAAGTGAAACTGATCATCATATGTATTCGTGATACTTTGTGCTACACTCTTTAATTGCTTATAGTTCTTGTATAGGTCTTATTTAATTACTAGCGACTCACCCTAGCTTGATTCCTCATACAAACTTTCATCCCCATTTTCACCCCCTTAAGGGATGATTTCCGGGATAAAAAGTATCCTATCTCATTCCCAGGGTCTCAAAAACTATTTTCTGACCAAATTTTATCTAAATCGGTCTAGTAGATGAGAGATTACCCCCTCCAACGTTACAAACTCACAAACTCTACCTCTTTATAATATTAGTATAGAGAAGAGCTGTGTTCTGTGTAGGTATTACCTAAATTTTTTTTATTAATGATTAATGTTATGTAACAAAAAAGATAGACTGACTTCGAAATCACTTAAAAAGTTGTTATTCCACCAATAAAGGTGTTTTTTTTTAATTTAGTAGGTATGTATTAGGTATGTCTATACAATAAAACAAGGATCATGAAAATCGATTCACAATTGTGAAATTTATTGCGAAACAATCCCAAAAAAAGTACAGGTGATTGATCCTGTTGGTTTAACCTTTTTTCTCGATGTAATGGATTGTCGTGATTTTTTCTAGAGACATAGTTAACAATTCTACAGAGTTATACATATACAGTGGTAGCCCAGTGGTAACGCGCTCTCTTGGGAAACCGAGTGAAGTGGGTTCTGATATTTTCATATGCGAATCATTTCCAACATGATTACCACTTGTCTTACGGTGAAGGAAAACATCGTGAGGAAACCTGTATGTCTGAGAGAACCTAGCAAGTTTTCGAAATACATGTTAAGTCCGCCTGGACTTGGCCAGCGTGGTGGCTATAGCCTGATCCTCCTCGTATTGAAGGGAGCTGGAGTGAAACGTTAAAAAGGGAATACATATTACATATAAATACTGCTTTGTCTCAAGTCAAGTTTCTATTGCAAAAACCTACTAAGACGAGACACTAGTTTAAATTATTTTATTCCACCTTAGCTTATACAATAAAAATAGATAAACTAATATAACTTATATATATCCCCTTCCCTCCGGACATCTGAGGCGATCAGACGTGTAACACATAAAGTCACGCGTGTTTTTTATTCATATTTTATTGAATTTATTTCAAAAATAACATACGAGAGAATACTAGGAGCGCAGTGTCACAGTGGAGGTTGCAATGGCAGTATACTACGGCAGTGAGTAATACATATTTCTCATTCATTTCTACGGGAGGTCAAGATACAGTGGACGGAAAGTGATTTTGTATGAAAGCGTCGCGACCGCCCAGTCAACGTTGACCCACAACTGATAACGCTCGAGTTGTATCTACGCTAAGTATTTATTAGCTTCGGCTGTTTTCTGTCGCCCTGGTAATGAACAGTGGACTCGGTAACATGCCCCTTCAACGCACGCCGCCCTCGTCCAGCACCGCAGCTCCGGCGGACGAATCGATAACTATACCGCATCCTGCAACTAAACTAACGCGGCATCTCTCTGAATCGGACCCGGAGCTACTAACGAAATCTATGGATGAACTGAGACAAGGAGCATGCCATGTTACCCAACGCCTTAAGAGAAAGCGTGAAAGCAATAGTGAACAACTATCCGAGATGATGGCGGAAATGAAAAATATGTTTGCTGAATTTAGAGCCCACCAAAGCTCTCAAGACTCAAAATTGGAAAAGATTTCCTCTGCAATGGACGAAATAAAAGCCCAAACCTTGCAATGCAGAGCTCGGTAGAGTTCGTTGCTAGCAAATTTGAATCAATTCAATCTCAAATTAACAAACTTGAATCTGACCGGAACGAAACCCTCCAATATATTCAGGTCTTGGAACAGAAATTAGAAAACCTCGAACGCCACAAAAGGTCTACTTGTGTAGAAATTAGAAATATACCACATAGTAAAGGCGAAACTAAGCTATCCCTCCTTAGCCAACTGGAACGCTTAGCAAACGCCTTAAACACATCAATAGACCCCCAGTATGTTAAGGATATTTTTCGTATTAACACTAGAGATCCCACTAACAAAACCATTATTATAGAATTCAACAGTGTACTCACAAAGGAACTTCTGTTACGAAAATATAGGGATTATAATAAAGCAAACAGTACTTGTAAACTAAACACGGAGACTCTGGGTATCACTGGCGCACGCAGCCCCGTGTTTATATCAGAAAATTTATCCCCTCAAATGAAACGGCTACATTATATCACGAAGGACTTCGCCAAGTCAAACGGTTTCAAGTACTGTTGGGTCACAAATGGCAAAATATTTCTACGTAAGCAAGAAGGAACAGGCTTAATTCTCATCAACAACGAGCAAGATTTAAAGAACTTAGATAATTCTAATAACGTTAAATGACTAGTCTCCTTAACATCCTGTCTAGTACTGTTTGTTTATTGGTTTATTGTACTGCTATTTAGTCGTCTCTATTTTATGTCTACTAACCCCTACCTAACACATTTAGCATTATCGACTGTTTTTAAGAATGGTTTCTGTGTTGCCAGTTCGTCGTTTTTTCTACATATAAATTATAATATTCTATTATGCATTCCTCTTAATCTTTGTATATATTGTGTAAAATACCTAGCCTGTAACAAAAGTAAATATACAAGAGAGCATTCGCAGCCCTTCTATTTCCGCATGTTGCTTGTCTTTTTATCCTCGGCGCCTATCGCTTCCAATATGATACTTGTTAAAAGATTGGTTTCACCATGATCAATACGCTAGAAATTACTAATGACTTAGAAAATATTGCCGTTTCGAAATCTTATGTCTGTACACCAGAAAATAGTTTAGGGCTTCTTCCTGATATTAATGAATCGCTTACAGTTTTGCATCTGAATATAAGAAGCATTGGCTGTAATTTCAGTCAGCTTCAGATACTTTTAAAAAGGATAAATATTGTGTTTGATGTTCTGGTGCTGAGTGAATGCTGGCTAAGCAAATGCCCGTATTTACCAAACTTGCCGGGATATTCATCATTTAAATCAAACTTCGCTAACCAAAATGATGGCATAGTGGCCTATGTTAAAACAGATTTGGCTTGTACAGTTGTTAAGAGAACCTTTAATGATGCCAATTGCCTTGTGCTTAAGTTTGCTAATGAAATTGCTTTAGTAGCTGTTTATCGTTCACCGTCAACAAGGAATATTGGTAGTTTTCTTGAGTCTCTTGAGGATACGCTGACTTCTCTAAATACGTTTAAGACTGTCGCCCTAGTTGGAGACATCAATATTAATATAGTACCCGGGAGTAGTGATCCTAATGCGGATCCCTACCTCACCTTGGCGGCAGCAAATGCGATGTTGCCTGCACACGTGTTTCCCACAAGAAAAAGTAGTTGCTTGGATCACGTGCTTCTTAAAACAAATACAACATCTGTTACATTAATCATAGATTCACTTATTACTGACCATTCTCCAGTTGTACTTTGCTGCAGTCGAAAAAAGAAACTAACTAAAGTAGCGCGTAACAAAATTATATTTGACGAAAGTTCTTGTGTCAAAGAAATTGAAAAAAAGGATTTTTCATTTATTATGTCTATTACTGATGCCGAAAAAGCTGCATATTTGTTTGTTAGTACATTAATAGGCATTATTAAGACTCATTCTAGGACTGTTCATATAAGTAGCAAAATGCGAACTATCAAGCCTTGGATGACACCTGGTCTGTTACGCTGTGTTAGAAATCGTGATCGACTATATAAATTAAGTAAAAAAGATCCTAATAATCATTTGGCAAAACTGACATACACGCGTTATAGAAATTTTTGTATAAATTTACTTAAAAATATTAAACGAGCTTATGAACGGTCAGAGTTCCATAAAGCGAAAAATAATCCTAAGGCTACTTGGAAGCTTATTAAAAATATAACCAACCTCGATCAAAATTCTTCCGAAGCAGATAGCCTCTTGTCGTTAAGCGAAAATCCGAAAGCGGCAGTTAATTTGGTCAATGAGTATTTTAGTAATATCGGGAAAACCCTCGCCACGCAGTTTACCGGACAGTCTAATCATTTTGCGATACCTCAAAATTGTAACCATGTAAATTCTATGGCGTTAATTGAAACTGACAATGAGGAAGTCGAACGAATTACTATGGGACTACGAAATTGTGCCGTGGGGTGGGATGGCATACCAGCGTCACTGCTTAAGGCCGCGCGTTCCGTTCTTGTGCCAATAATGACACATATTTATAATCTCTGTTTGTCGTCGGGGACATTCCCTCGGGTATTCAAGAAAGCCCTTGTACATCCTATTTATAAAAGCGGTGACAGAGACAGTGTCAACAATTACAGGCCTATTTCCGTCTTAACAACACTTTCTAAAATCTTTGAAAAAATTCTAAATTCTCGCTTAATAAAATACCTAGATGCATATTCGATACTTTCTGATAATCAATTTGGCTTTCGAAGTGGGAAATCTACAGAGGATGCTGTACTGGCTCTCACAAATTCTATTATTGACAATTTTAACTGTAAACACAAAACCATTGGTCTTTTCCTTGACTTATCCAAAGCTTTTGACACTGTCTCTGTCCCAATTCTCGTGGGGAAACTAGAGTGTATTGGCGTGAGAGGACTCGTACTTGATATATTTAAAAGTTACCTCAGTAATCGCACACAGCAAGTTCGCATAGGCAATCATATCAGTGATGAAGTGACTCTATCGTTCGGCGTGCCTCAGGGTAGTGTCCTCGGACCAACATTATTCCTAATATATGTTAATGATTTATGCAATCTAGCTCTCAATAATGTTAAAGTTTACGCTTATGCTGATGACACTGCCCTTCTCATTGAGGCACCAACATGGGAGGAAGCTCGACTCCTCGCTGAGACTACGTTAAGGATAGTAATGCAATGGTTCGCTAAGAACTTATTGACAGTTAATGTTAGCAAAACGACTTTTATAGCTTTTGCTCCCAAAGCCTTGTCTCTGCCCCCGTCTACTTTGTCTATCCACGCCCACAATTGTAACCCAAATGACGATTTTTGCCGCTGCACTGAGCTAACGCAGTCTTCCTGTGTTAAATATCTTGGCGTTCTTATTGACTCTCTAATGACTTGGAATGACCAGGTTGAGGCGGCTATAGGTCGAATTAGAAAATTAATGTATATTTTCAAGACCCTTAGAAATATTGCTGATCAACAAACCCTGAAGATCGTATATTTCTCGCTGGCACAGTCTGTTTTGACTTATTGTTTATCAGCCTGGGGTGGGACGAGGAAAACTAGATTCCTCCGTTTGGAGAGAGCCCAAAGAGCCGTTCTTAAAGTTATGCTTGGCAAACCAATCCGTTTTGCTACTTCTGAATTGTATATAATAGCTAAAGTCTTAACGGTTAGGCAATTGTTTGTCTTAAAAACGGTATTACGCAAACACCTTGAGCTACCTTTTGTTAAAAATGCTATAAAGCGACGGGCTGGCCGCATTTGCAATATGAAACCTACTCGTATTGCTCTTGTTAGAAATCATTATGTCTATCTCTCGGCTAAAATCTATAACAAATTGAATGCATTGATAAACATCCATCCTCTGTCTTACTGGCAATGTAAAAATAAAGTAACTAAGTTTTTGCAAAATCTCAATTATAAAGAGACTGAATCACTTGTTTACGATAACTAATGAACATAAGTTAATTGTATATTTATAAGATAATTTTGTGAATTATTATTTATAAGCTCTGTACGTAAATAAAACAGGTATATATACAGTGTAGTACTTACGCTACTATAAAACTTACCAACCTGATTGTTCTATCTTCATCTCCTAAGGATTCGTATAATTTATAAATATAAGCTTAAACTAAATTAATATCATTACAATAGTAACTAATTCTGTTAACACACCCTAATAATATATTTGTACTAACCTTAGAACATAGCTGTCCTTATTGTCCCGAGGTGGGCGTAAATAGCTGCGACACAGTTTATACTAATGCAGCTACTTACGATCTAAATGTTTTAATATGTATGTTATTATGTTCAATAAAAATCTTTAAATCTTTAAATCTTTAAACTCATTGTTAACGCGCTCGTTTGGAAAACTTGTTGTTTAGTGGTCATTTTGAACATGATTTGACCACTTGTTGATACGATGCAGAGAAACATCGTCATTTTAAAGAAGTTTTCCTTCATCTTTGAGAGAACCAAACTAGGTTAGGAAAACATGAAGTCCGCTAACCCGCATGTATTTAGATTGTTGGTCTATTATTTCCGCTCTCATTTGAGATGAGACGTAAATTTTTTTATTTTATTAGAAATAATAATATGGAATATAACAAAAATGTCATACTTTTATATGTTACTTATGTATAAATATATCGCATTCATATTCTGCCTTGTCTTTTTGTCAGTCCATTTGCAATTTGTTTAAACTTATCCAACAATATAAAGATATACGTACATATTTCTGTATAAACCAACTAAGATGTAGTCACTATATTATGCTAGTGGGAAAGCGAGAACCGTAGAAGCTTTGCGAGTTGCGAGCCTGTCAAAACTACATTATCAGTATGGCGTGCCGTTGATAAATACTCTTTAGTATCCCCTTTTACTTGCGATTTAAGCGCTTTACTAGTATAACACATTAAACACTAATATTAAGTGTAAGCGCTGCAGCGCTAAGTTACGCCAGTGAGTTACTCGGGCTGTGTGAACGCAAATCGATCTAGTAAATGGATTACTTTTATTCTTTAGACTGAAGTAGCAAACTTAGCACTCGGTATAATGTA